GCTGGTTTTCCACTGAATTTCAATGCTGCAGCAATACCTCCCTCAACTTCTCTCAAGATAACTTTCTCTTGACTGGGATTGGGCAAGCTGAAATGATACAGAATGGAAGTTTATAAAATTTATTGCCAAATAAAATGTTCCACATTTATTATTATGTTTAAAACAAACTTTAACTCATGAACCTTACCTACTGATATCTTTATTAGATGGAAGAACAATTTGGATGGATACATCTGACAACTCAGCATTGGAAGCCTGAGTGAAGACAGGCATAGTCATTGGTATTTTCTCCATTGTAGAATTTTTCCCAAAGATATACCTATACTGACGAAATCCATATCCATATCATGCATGCAGGGAATGAGGAAAAGAAATAAAATCAATCTGATTAATCAGATTGCAGAAGACTCTCACCCAGCAACATCATTAAAGCCAGTCGACCCAGAGAGCTTGTCTCCATTTGTTTCTACCACTGTGAATCCTGAATACTTTCTCACCTGCATACTATATAGCATTTAAATGTTATTTGCAGGACATCTAGGTATTCTCAAATATTACATATTCCCAAAAATGCAACTGGAAGCACAAGTATGGTAGTTCACTCCAGAAATCAGAAAATAGTAGGATACCATGACACTTGAAATCATACAAATCTGAAATTAAATGCACAAACTTTTATATCCACTGCAAAAAATGAAGAAACAATAGAAGGAGAATCCAGAAGTAGAGTCAACATAGAATCACATCAATTATGATTACATGAATTATGTTTATCCACTTGCATTGGAAAGTATAGATTACTTAAAGGAGTTTTTTAGATTCTTGTATACATATCACAACAGGCAACCTTATCTGTTAGTAGCTCTTTGTGGACCATAATCACTTACTGAGAAACTCTGAAACTTCCAATCTTTTAAACCCACAAGAAATATAGGGGCATGTTAAGTGGGCACTTATCCTGTTATGTCAACAATGAAATTTGATTTCTTACCACCCCTACATAGTATCTTCATGGTATTTGATTTCTTACCACTTGAAAAGATTTCAATGTGTATTACATACAAAATCATATATAAGGCATTCAAAATGTGACTGCACACATATCCTTGGTGATGGTCACTTTTTTTTCCCTAGTGGCACTACCCTTCTCTTGTAGCTGTTCACTCATGTCTATTGAGTGATTTTATTAGCTACCTGAAGCAGCACTTCTGGAACCCAATCAAAACTAATAAACAGTGGTGATCCTAGAGATACAAGTTAAACTATATATGATGACTCATTCTGCTATCTTTAAAATGATCATACTTAATGAATAATGTCCAAGGTTGAATATTTCTTCTCCATGATAATTTTCAGATTGTTTTATTTTGAATTATTGGTATATGCTATAATTAATTGTTAAGGAAATAAATGAAAATGTTTTACATTCATAAGATAACCCAAAGTGCCAGTCAATTCAGATTGTACATTGGTTTGTCTAAGTGTGAATATATAGAATAGCAGGAAGAGTAAACATTGAATGCAGCAATAACTTTTATCTGAAGAAATACAAGTAACCTCATAATTTGCAGTCCTTTTCAGTATCCGGTATTTGGGTGTCTCCAAGTCAGGAGTCTTATAAATTCGCAACTGCAAAGAATAAAACTCTACACATTAGAAGAGCTTCTGAATCGTACATACACACAAGGTACAAAATATAATCATAACGTCATTTTGAGCAAACATAGACCCATACCTGCTTAATTACATCCACCAAACCTTCAGGTGAAAAATAATCATTTTTCTCTATGGAGTCCCAATAGTCCTACACATAAGATATTATTATGTATTACAAACACTTTTAGATATTTTCAGCATTTCTCAAAAGGGAAGGAAAAGAAACAATCAGAGAAACAAGCCTTACCACATGGCTGCAAAACTTCCCATTCTTTGGGTTTACACCCATTACAGAGGTTCCAGTGAAGACGAGCTCTGGTTTCCACGGCAAAAGGATGAACTTCATTATCATAGTCCACCTTGTGGTTATTTCGTAAGGTCCTGTCTATAGCAACCCAATCAGTGAACAAACAGTATGAAGTATTCAAGTATTCATCAAAAGGGTAGTTGAGGTTTAACAACCTTATAACATATTTCTCAAAAAAAGAAAAAAAAAAAAAGAACCTAAGAATACAAATCTATGAGTTGGAAGAAATAACAATAGAATCTCTTTTACAGTAGAAGCATTTTTAATATCAAAACTTATCTCTTTGACCATTGAAAATAAATACTCAAAATATTAGTTGCAATTCATTTATAAGCAATAACTACCTCTTTTTCTTACATTTACGACCTATGTTGATTTTTTCCTTTTACAAAAAAAGTTTAATTTCTACTCTGTTCATCTTGTCCCCTATTTTGTTAGAGTCACCCATCTGTGATTGACATTAAAAAAAAAAAAAAAAAAAAACCTTGAATTCTTCATCCAAACAATAAAGTTCATTGAGTTAGTACAGGATAACTTCTGAATTCTTAATAATTATAATGGGGAAAAAAAAAAACTTTAAGGGGAAACTGGGGCAACTCTAACCTGTTTGACCCAGTGCAACTGAAACTGAGGCCTGAAAAGCACCTTTAAGAGAGCAATATTAAACAGATACCCACTAATAGTATCATGCTTCGTGATGGGGTCTCTGAACAGGACCCGCTCGTCATATGCCGTCCGATCAATCCCCTGCTCATCAAACAGATGCGGAAGATCATCGTACAAGAAACCCACTAACCCCTCCATGTCAACCGATGATTTTGGCGGGCTTTGGTCCACGAGGCTTAGCCTACATGCCCACTTGAGCTTTCGGTCGGCACTAACGGCTAATTTTCTTGCTGTGAAAGTCATAAGAGGATAGAGAGACAGCCCGCAAATGCTGACTTGCCGGCAAGGGACGACACCAATGGCGGCAGTAGGTCTGAGAATTTGAGGTGAAAGTCGAGAACCCACCATTTCCGTTGTGTTATAGAAGTTCAAAACAAGTTTTTTGCGTTGCTGGAGAGTGATTCTGCGCTTTCATGGCTTTAGTTTCCAACTGTGACCTGTGAGAGAAACTGAGAGAATTATCAGCCATACAAAACGGAGGGTCGCCGTTCTTCCACCTCGGGGGATGAAGACCAGTGGGCAAATATACCGTTGTTTAAATTCTAATGATTTATTTTTGAGCCCATCTTGCTTGTTAACGAGCCGGTGGATAAGTGGCCCATGTGATTGGGCTTCAGACCACCATACTACAATCAAATTAGGGCTGGGCAAATGTTGGTTTCGGTATTTACCAATAGAGAATACCGAACCCTTTTTTTTTTTTGCCCTTTTTCGAAGATCAAAACCAATACCGAATATCCCCTGTTTTTTCGCCGGGCGGTGTTATTCGAACAATTATTTTATATTAATTTTTATAATATAATTTATAATTATATTTAATATTATAAATTTTATATAAATTAAAAAAATTAATTATTTAAATAATATGCGAAATTATATAAAAGATGGTATAAAAAACTCGTCTCAAAATCATTTCTTATTTCTTCGGTATTGGTTATCGAAATTTTTGGTTTTATGATTTTGGTTTAGGTATTCACTGATTATTGAGCATGATGCTTTTGCAGAGATGAAGGGGAAATTGAAGAAGATATTGGGCCAGAAACCATGAGTAGATATGAGGAGAGAATGCATAAAAATAAAAGAGAAAATAGCAGCAATGACTTCAGCGAAAAATACAGCACCGACAACGCAAAATAGAAGGAAAAAGAAGACCTGGGTCAGACTAAAGACATTAAGAGTAGAAGGAATGAAGGATTTCATTTTAAAGTTTTTACTGGATTTTCTAGATGGGCTTAACTCTCAACTGAGATAAAAAAAAATAAAAAAAAATAAAAAAAATAAAAATAAAAAAAAAACCTAAAAGATGAAAGAGAAATGAGAAAAATCAGTGAAGAAAAAAAAAATCAGTGCAGATACAGAATGAAGGTAAACAGTGAAGGAAAAGTTAAAGGGACAAGATGAATGGATGCATTTAAGAGAAAGAAAACTTACGATAAGAATTTTAAGGAGATATATAAATTATAAAGAAAAGTAAAATAAAGCATGACAAGAGCATGGATTTTGAAATGCTAAATTATAGCATAATTTTTAGAAGACATCGGTCAATTGATTATGAAAATATATTGATATGTAAGATATTAGAAAAAATATTTTTTGTTTTTTATTAATATATTTTGGTTATAGATTTGGCTTTTTGATTTTTAAGCACCTGAAACTAGAAACCAACCAAATTATTTTTAAAAATAACCAAAACCAATAATTTTATGATGGAAAGCTATTTAACCAAAACTATTTAGTTAATTTTTAATCAATTTTAATTAATTTTTCAGTTAGGACATTTTTTACCCACCCCTAAATCAAATAATCAATTTATGCGAAAAATATAGTTGGTAGCTATTAATATAAAATCTTTAATTTGAAGTTAAAGATTCATGTAATGCTAACTTTTTTTTTTTTTGGTAAATAGAGATATGAAATATATTAAGGATTAAACGGCTACAGCAATTCTTGGGAACACAGTCCCAATACAGTCATGATACAAAAAGGAAGAGATCCCAGGAGGGCTCCCATCATACAAAACAAAATTCATGGCAGAGGAAGTTCCAAGCTTAGCCATGAAGTCAGCAGCCGTGTTAGCTTCCCTATAAATATGGGATATCTGAGCATCAGCAAAACGTCCCAGAAGTGATCTGCAATCAGAGATAAGGATGCCAAGTGAGTGAAGAGAAATATCAGCAGACTCGATAAGGATAGTAGCAATTTTTGAGTCGATTTCAACAATAATTTTAGATAACCCTTTGGAGATAGCAACTTCCAAACCATCTCTGATGGCCCATAACTCAGCAGCAATGCTAGTAGTCCATCCAATATTCCGTGAAAACCCAATAATCCACCTGCCTAAGTGATCCCGAAGAAGACCCCCAGCTCCAGCCATGCCTGGATTTCCAAGGGCAGATCCATCACTATTAAGTTTGACAAACCCAGAAGAGGGGGGAACCCAACCAACAGAAATGGTGTTCTTGGGTTTAGGTTCAGCACAGTTAAGGTTGTTTCCAATGAATTCCTGAGCTTTGTCTAAGGTAGTGCGCTTAAGTTCCATAATAGGGATCTGTCTTTTGTCATGCACAAGTTGATTTCTAGAATACCATATGGACCAGATAGCATAAGAAAAAAAAGTAGGCCATGTAGAAGGAATATTATTAGGGTTCTTCCAGCAAACGTTGGATTTAATCCAACTTTTAAAGTCAAGATTTTGGTTATGAGAGGTGCTGGAATAAGGTGAAATGGAATCCCAAAACGACGAAGCATAGTGGCATTCTCTAAACAAATGATCCAAAGTTTCAGGTCCATTGCTACACCTGGGGCATCTATTGTTTTGAACCACTCCCCACTGAGCAAGAGTGTCAAAAGTAAGGATTCTACCATGCATAAGAAGCCAAAGGAAATATTGGATTTTGGGGATGGTACTGACTTTCCAAATCCAAGACCAATCATCTTCATTTGACCATTGAATGTTCTTGGCCATATAGTAGGCAGATTTCATGGAGAACTTGTCGTTCGAAGATGAATTCCAAATAAAGGAATCTTTCTCATAACTATGTCTCTGGATAGGAGTAGCAGCAATTCTTTGAATGATATCTTGAGGTAAAGGATAGGCAACATAATCCAAATTCCATCTACCATTAGGAAGTAAAATATCTTTCAAGGTGATATTAAGGTCATGCGGCCTGAAAGGACCATGAAACAAAGAACAAAGAGGATCTTTCAAGAGCCATCTATCTCGCCAAAAATAAATTCTGGAGCCATCACGGGGGATCCAGTTAATGCCCTTTTCTATAATATCCCTACCTTTAGCAATGTCTTTACAGACAGGGGAGGACGAGGTAGAGAAATTATGATAGGGTGTTTTGATCTTATATTTGGAGATAAAGGCCTTGGCCCAAGGTTTTTGGGTTTCAGTGTTCAACCTCCAGTGAAGTTTGGCCATGGCCGCTTGATTGGTTTCTTTGCTGGCTCTGATACCGATTCCACCAACCTTTTTTGGTTGAGTAATCCTATCCCAGGAACTAAATTGGCTTTCTTCTTAGCAGAAGTAGAACCCCAAATAAAATTTCTAGAGATAGCATCAAGCTCATTCTGGATAGATGCAGGAAGGAACATACCTTGCATATAGTAATTAGGGATAGAAGCAAGGACAGAAGAGACCAAAGTAGCTCTCCCAGCTAGAGAGAGCATATTAGCCTTCCATCCCGTAAGCTTAGATCTAACTTTGTCAACAATAAAGCCACAATCAAATTTTTTGATCTTTCTCGAGGAGATAGGAAAGCCCAAATACTTTCCTAAAAAAAGAGTTTCCACATAGCAAAGGATTTGGCAAATATCCTGTCTAGTGGATGAATAAACATTGACAGAAAATAATACTTTAGACTTCTCTTGATTAATACTCTGCCCCGAGCGAAAACAAAAGAAATCCAGCAATTGCTTGAGGTAAAGAGCATTAGAAGTTGTAGCTTTACCAATAAAGATAAGGTCATCCGCAAAGAATAGGTGGGAGAATAGTGGACCAGATTTTCCCAACTTCGAACCTTTCCAGAGACCTGAATTGGTACCATGATGGAGATTTAAGGATAGATATTCCAGGCAAAGGATAAACAGATAAGGGGACAAAGGATCCCCCTGCCTAAGGCCTCGAGATGGTTTGAATGACTCTGTTACTCCTCCATTAATAATACAAGAAAAGGAAGCTGAGGAGATACAGGACATAATGAGCTTAATCATCAGAGGAGGTAAATTAAAAAAGGTGAGGGTCTCCTTTATGAAGCTCCATTCAAGGCGATCATAAGCCTTTTCCAAATCCAGTTTAACAATCATGTCACCTTTGTTCCCCTTTTTTTTATGAAAGGAATGAACAAATTCTCGAAGAAGAGTAACATTATCAATGCCATTGCGACCTGGTATAAAACTAGATTGCATAGGAGATATCAAATCTCCTATAAACTTTTTAAGGCGAAGGACAATAATTTTTGTAACAACCTTGTAAGACACATTGCAAAGGCCAATAGGCCTGTACTGAGAAATAGAATCTGGCTTATTGATTTTAGGAATAAGAGTAATCAAACTCGCACTCCAAGATTCAGGCATAACTCCCGAATTAAAGATATTCCTAATCTCATTGCAAAGCTTATTCTTAACCACAAACCAAAATTTCTGAAAAAAAGCCACATGGAGTCCATCAGGACCAGGGGCCTTGAAAGGTTTCATGGAAAAGATAGCTTGTTTGATCTCAGAATCAAAAGGAGGGATGTTTAACATATGCCATGAAGTAGGATCCACAATAGGACCACTATGAACATTAATGAATGAGTCATGGAAAGAATGAGCAAGTGAAGTGGTATACAGGCCCTTGAAGTGAGAGGACACTATACTCTCAAGAGAAGAAGGATCCGAAGTCCAAGAGCCAGAACCATCCTTTAGACCTAGAATACGGTTATTAGATCTGCGTTTCAAGGTAGAGACATGGAAAAATCTAGAGTTCCTGTCACCATTTTGAATCCACTGGACACGAGATTTCATAAACCACATGTCCTCTTCATACTTTAAAATATCTTGATACTCTTTAGTGAGAGATTTCTCTAGATCAATACGAAAGGAGCTATCTTTGGCTTGCAAGAAACGTTGAATACCTCCCAATCGAGCGATAAGCTCTTTCTTCTTTTTATGGAGGTTGTCAAAGGTAGTTCTACTCCAAAGTTTCACAATGTTTTGGAAAGCAACTGAGCATTCCGCAATAGATAAATTGGCAAAGGTCCAACTAGAAACAACAAGATCTTTAAAAGATTCGTGCTCTAGCCAAAACTTTTCAAGTCTAAAAGGTCTCCTATTTAAGGATGGATATGGTTGATCAAGGCTTAGGAGAATAGGACAGTGATCAGAGTGAAGCGCGAGGAAGATGTAATAAGGATGCTTCAGGAAAAATAATCTTCCATGAAGGATTGGCCCAGGCTCTGCCTAGTCTTTCTCTAATAAGGTGGTGGCCATCTCTTTTATTGACCCAAGTAAATTTAGGGCCAACAAACCCAATATCTAGTAGTTCACAGAAATTCATGCACTCAGAATAAGCACGGATACGATATTGGGGAACAGGGTTGCCCCCAAATTTTTCATTTTGGGCAATAACATCATTAAAGTCCCCAATGACAACCCATGGGTCATTGATAATTTGGGAAAATTGCTTCAAATTCTCCCAAAGCAAAGATCTAATCTCAAATTGAAGACGGCCATATACAGCAGATAAAATCCAATTAAAATTAGAAAAGGAGGGATGGAATGTTACCTGGACGTTGGCATGAATGACTTGCGGGCTCATGTTCAGAATATCCACACAGAATTTCCTGTCGTCCCACAGAAGCCAGATGCCTCCAGCCAGACCATCAGCATCAACGATAACTTTCTTGGAAAATCCTAAAGCTTCAGCAACCTCACTGGCTCTAGTCCCCGCCAATTTTGTTTCCATTATGATAAAAATACCCGGATTGTGTTGCTTGATGATATCCATGGCATTTCATTTGAAATCTTGGCTAGCCACACCACGGCAATTCCATGACATGATCTTCATGGTCCAAATTTTTCTACTGAAGGTGGTCATCATCCACCTGGCAAGTTCTTGGAGCCACACTAGCTGGCCCTCCTTGTTCAAAACCATCATGTTGAGTCCTGGGAAGTAGTACGGCAGCACAATCTGCTTGTATTAGAACTGGGAGCTCTGTATTTCCTCCTTCCTGACTATAAGGTGCACAGTCCTCATGCATCCTATCATCCTGAATAGACATAGGAATGGGTGTTGCACCTGCGTTGTGAGCAACTTCGGAGCTATTGGTTCCGACCAACCGTCCCATCTTATTATCTCCATCAAGGATGTCCAGACTACCCTCTGAATGAAACATGATTCTGGAGACAGGTGCTCCGACGGCAGTGGAATCCCACCCTTTGGAGGAGGAAGAAAAGGGGTGGGATCCACTCCTTTCATCACCAGAATGGGCTTGAGCCAACAACTTTGAAGAGTCTCTAACGTCCAATCCTTGATCGGATGTGGATTTTTGCTTGAAACCAGCGTTAGAGCCTCTTCTAGTGAAATAAACTTGTTGTTCTCGTCGATCAGCAAAACCTCCCACATATGGCTGATCTTGGTGAATGTGACTGGATCCATGATCCGATACTGCACGGGGGGAAGTTGATCTCGCTGGGGGATTATTCTTGACATTTTGTGGGTTTGTTGTTTGGGCAGTAGATCTTTTAGAGGGAGGAGTCTTCCCACGTGTTGGAGGAATAGAAAGTGAAATCTTATCCGAAACAGTGGATTTGTCTTGCAAGGATAAAATAGACGCATTAGAATTGGGTTTAGTAAATTGGGGATCCAAACTTACCTGTTTTGTGAGGATTGTGCTCTAGTGGGCTGGATCGTGAGATGGGCCTTTAGCCTCGGTTAGAGAAAGGGACATTGTATTGTGATCTTTAGGATTTGAGCTCAACGGTTGGGAAGCCGTGATAGGTCCATTAGTGGCAACAGTCTCCACATTAATTGTGGTGTTAGAGTTAACATTTCCTTTTGAATTTACATTTCGCGACCCGTTCCTTGACCCATTGAGTCAACTCACTGGGTTGTTGTATTGAGTGTTACTCTGCTTCTTCTTGTTCCTTCGTCATTCCACAAGCATCCATGGTCCAAAGCCTTGATTATCCAGTAAGTCATTGCTACTTCCTTCAACAGGGCCTTGTGAGTTTTGGGATTCAATAATTTGATCCTCAGAGACAACCATCGGGTGGGGGATTTTGAGAGGGCACTTATCTTCTTTATGCCCAACACACCCACACGCATAACACAGAGCAGCAGGTCCTTCATAAAGCACTTTTTGAATATGCTTCCCGATTCGGACAAAAGGAACTAGAGGTTCATCAAGGTCAACTTGAATGCAAATTCTAGCATACTGGCCTCTCGATTGATGAACAGTATGTGCGTCAAGACGAAGGGGGGTACCCAGCATATTCCCAATTCTCTCAAGAATTTGGACATCATAGTACTCAATAGGAAGGCGTGGGAGTCTTGCCCATATTGCTGTGGTCTTGAAAGTGGCTTTAGCAGGATCAAAAGAAGGTTCCCACCTTCTAATTGTGAGAAAATGAGGACCAACAAACCATGGTCCCCCATGGAGAACACGGTTAAGATCCTCTTTCTCATGGAAACGGATAAGAAAGAAATCCAAACCCAAATCAATACAGTCCATTTTTCCTCTTGGCTTCCATTGAGCCTTTACTCTGGGAAAAATAAAATTATATCCAGCTTTATCTGTCCCGAAGGCCTTGATTATGAGAGAGTTAAGCCAAGGCATGCAGATTCTTTTCTTTTCTTCTCTAGATATGAGGATAGTGGGTATAGTCCCATCATCCTCCATATCTGAGTCTTCTTCCAGAGCTTCATCCCTGTTGGAACTATCGCAAAGGATAGCAGTAGGTTCAGATGAATAAACCATATCTCTGTATGACAGCTGTTTTTGAGGAGCTTCAAATAATTGATACTCCTCAGCAATAGAGGAGTTGCTGTCGCCTTTGATGCGTTTGACAGATCGAGATAGAAGATCAGCTTCCTGGGAATTCAGAGTTGGAGTTGCAATAGCAGACATGTTCGTATCGTAGAGATTTTAAGATGATGTAATGCTAACTAAACTCGATGCGCTAAAAGATATCCAGAGACACCCCGTCTTCCTTGTTGGTGCCAACTCCAACCACATTAACCCAGCTTCTAGATGTAGCCCCACCTCTTCGAGAAATAGTATAAACAAGGACTTCAATTTTTTTAAGTTTACTAATCAAGGATCTAAAAGTTTTTGTTTCTAATTTTAGATCTTAACTTTCTAATTTTTCTATTCAAGGACTTAATCTCACCAATTTGGACAAAATCAAGACTTTATTGAGTCTTTATTAAGCATGGTGGTAAAAAGTGCACCTAGGAGTTAGGTAATGCCATTTTGCCTACATTGGCCTCTAGGTGGAAGTTTAATGTAGTTTGCACTACTCAAATCAATTAAGCGTGCTTAGGTGCTATTTGGCACACTTAATGGTGCCTAAACTACTTGAGTAATGGTTCTTTTACCCTAATGAAACAACATTGTTTAATTTCTTATAAAAAAATTTTAAAAATAACCCTAAATGATGAGTAATTTCCCTAAATTCTACTTTTCATACATGATAATGCATGGAAAAATGTTTAATTTTTCTTTTTATTTTGTAATTTTTAAAATTGTTTCACATTTTTTTGTTTTCTTAGAATTATATAAAAAAACCTTACTAAAAAAAAATGCTTATCACTCTAGGCTTTAAATTGTGAATAACTACCCACCACTGCCTAACACTTTCTACAACTTTGTTATGGAGTCCATTGTGAGCCCCTCACATATTGTAATTTTTCCTTCTTTTTAACATTTTTTTATTTTTTTCATGTCATCAATGACAAACCCTTTTTTGCTGACAAGTCAACACCTAATATTGGTTTCTTTAACAAAATTAAGAAACATATGTCAAGATTCCATCCAACAATGCTTTGTATAGTGAAATCGGTGAGTTTGAATACTTAAATAGAAAGGCTAAACCCCATATTTACATCTTGTATATTATTATTAATTTTTTTTTTTTGCAGTTAACATCCTCAAGAATTTTTACTTTCAATCAACATCTTTTATAATTTAACACCCCTAAAAGAAAACCTAAAAATTAATGGTTAAATCCTTTATTTGCACTATAATTTTATTAGTAATTTGGGTTTTTTTTCTTCTTTTTTTTTTTTATAGATTTTAAACTATGAAAAGTGTTAACTGGAAGTAAAATTATAGAGGGTATGACAACAAAAAAGAAATAATGTGTAGATTGCAAATAGAGGCTTGGCCAAATAGAAAAACTAAAAAGTTGAGATCCTAGATTAAAAACAACAAATGTTTAGGTCCTTAATTGGTAAACTTTTACAAGTTGGAGTCTTAATCCCATATAAACGATCTTCCACTCAACGTCCTGATTCCTGATCCACCTTAATGCCAAACCCTACTTCCACCCCATGTTGATTTTAACCATCAAAATAATGCTGCTCCCCAGCCAAAAGAAGAGCAAATAGGCCAATATTGACTCTTCTCCTTAATAGCTTGACTATATATGGTGGTAAAATTATTAACAAACGAAGAAATAGGATTCATCCAGGTGATTATTTTAGCACTCCACCTGAGCAAGAAAAAATCACACGGTAAGTCGTATCAACCTACTCCATGATGCAGCATTAAAAACAAAGAAAGTTTCAATACCTTCAAATCATGTGCAGCTAATGTGCTTGCAGCGGTCATTTTCCTGACATCCAATCCCAGCAGAAAAAGTCCAGGAATGCATAGACTGGTTTTACCTTGATGTTGCCATTACCATTTGATTAGAAGTTTTTCTTTTTGTCAAGTTCTTGTTGTCCTGTTCCTTAGTCCACCATACTACACAAGGTCCTTGTACTTTCTTTGATCCATTCATGCACACAAAAAAGTTGTTTTTACATTAAGTAAAGGCAATGCCAGCCACTTTACTAAACTGTCAGTTGGGCTTCTATATAAGACAATCACACTGGTCACTCTCATTCAAACAGAATACAAGCAATAGATACACAAACTGATTTTCATTCTCACCCTCTTAACTGTTCTTCCTTTTGCTTTTAAAGAAGTAGAAAGGCAATGTCTCCCATTTCCAAGGTTGTTTCTCAGTGGTGCAAGAAGGACGTGCATGGAGAAGATGATGGTGATGATGGTGATGATGGATATGATTATGCCCCAGCAGCATGCATAGAAGACTGATGGTGATGACGGCAACAATGATGATGGTGGCTATGATTATCCTCCAGCTGCATGACTAATAATCAAGTAGTCTTGTCAAGTATGTTAAGTCTTGAAGGTGTTGAAACCCAAATAATGAGGTTTTATATAGATACTGTTTCATAGTTTGTAATAATTTCAATATATCAGAAGGTCATTATACTTATACTTATGCTGTCCTTGTGTCCTGCAATTAAGAAGGTGGATTATAACTTGTAAGGGTTCGTCCTCAGGATACTTAAAGAAGATATGACACATCTCATGGACATCTATATTTGTACCCAGGTGATCAGTGACATAATGCTTAATGATAATGCTAATGATGGATGGTTGTCATTTTCTGCTAACTACTCAATTAGATCTTTGCAACAAAAATAAGAAATGTATCAGTATGAGTATAGGCAATTCAGATATTTCATAAGCAACTAGATTAATGCATTTATTGTTCAAATAATTGTTAAGGTATACCAGAATGATTGCAAACCTAAGCCTAAAACTAACCAGAGGCATCCTGAGAGTATAACACATAGAGATTACTAATGAAAGATTACAATTCATCATATTTGGGAGGAGTCGACAAAACCATCTTTGGACATAAATTAAACAAATAAACAATATATGCTAGTATGTTAATCCTTGAGAGTGAAACCCTAATAATGAGGTTTCACTTGCCTTGCTATTTTTTACTTTGCATTAATTTGTATAGATCAGTGAGCCATTATGCCAATGCCTAAGATATCCAGCATCTCTTTACAAAAGAGGACTGTGACTTGTAAAGATACATCCTGTATGGTATTTGAAAGATATGATGTATGTCACCATCATCTATATTTGTACTAAGATGACCAATAACTTAAGGCTAATCATTTTTATGTTTCTAACAATGATAGCAATGGTTGTCATTTTCTATAGACAAAATTAGCTTTATTCTAGTATTAGTGGAGGAAAAAAATAATGTATTGTGGTTTAATTATTTTGCACAGAACCTAATGATTTTTGCTCTTAAACATAGTCCAGCACTCCAGCTACTAAGGAGAACGGTCCTCATCTTTAGCTGTTATACTATGCCTAATACCTTGTGCTAAATCAAATATAACTTAATTAGGTCTTGGGAAAAAATGTCAAATCTAATCTTATGCAACTAACAGTTTTCTCTTTTTTATAATTTTTGCTGTTAACTAATTAGTTATTCAAGAAACATTTACAAATTTATTTGTAGAATGGACCACAGTTACCTCCAGTACTTCCAATAAAACCCTCTCATCCCCACCCACCCACCCACACTCACAATTTTAACAACTATATTTGATTATCAGCCAAAAAAAAAAACTATATTTGATTACTGTTGTTCTGGTTGCCAGTGCATGCGCAGATTTAAGGTACAGAACCATACATGCATCATGCACACAAATGCCCACACATGTGCTTCATCTTATGTAAGAGGAAACAGATATCTTATCTTATATTATAAGTATCTATCAAGAACTAATTACTCAGTTGAGGTGATTAATTTAGCATTCCACTGGATCACTGATAAAAAAAAAAAAAAAAAAAAATTTTAAAAAAAAAAAGAAAAAGAAAAAAAGACAACCAAATAAGTGTAAAACCTATGGATGCAGCATTAAAAATAAGAAGCTTCAATACCTTCAGATGGCATGCAGTTAATGTGCTTGCAGCGACCACTTTCTGTCATCCAGCACAAAATGTCCAGAACAAATGCATCTAACGGTGTCCCCATGATGTTGTCATTGCCATCTAATTACAAATGCATTTTTCAGTTCTGTTTTCTTGTCCCTTAGTCCACCATGCTGCCCAACCCATTCATGCACCCAAAAGGTGCTTTTATGGTGCATAAATACCATTTGAGCCAGCCAAATAAAAAGACAACCATTTGAGCCTATTTGCTGAACTGTCATCCTAGATGCTATGTGGCTGGACAGCAGGCCACCACAAGCCATCTGCATTGTGTCATTCAACAGCCTCTGATCATTTTACACCAACCATGTGACTCACTTGTTCCAATACAAATTCACCACGTTCTCCTATCCTGACCATCCTCAATACACAGCAATCTCATTCCTCTCCCTTCCACTCAAACTGAATACAAACCACAGATATGCCAGTTGGATTTCAATTCTCACTGTCTTCTCCTTCCTTTTGCTTGAAGAGCATTAGAGAGAAAATATTACTTGCTCCCAAGGTGGTTGCTTTGTAGTGCAAGAAGTGTGCACATGAAGACAATGAAGGTGATGAAAGGCATGACTACACCCCAACAACATGCATGGAAGGTGATGGTGATCATGATGATCATTATGGCTGCTGCAATTATTCTCCACCTGCATGACTAATAATTAACTATTCATGATAAGTATACCAATTTCTTGATAGCGTCAAAATCCTAATGATGACATTTTACATGCCTCCTTGTTTTCTAGTTTGCAATTTGCAATAATGTCTATAAATCAATAGGCTGCTATGCTGATGTTTTAGATTTTTTCCAACTAATTATTAAGGTGGACTGTGACTTGTAAAGATCAAGAAGATAAGATGAATGTCAAGGTAATCAATAATCAATGTTTATGACAAGGACATGATGGTTGTTATTGTTCTGTTAACTAAATTAGCCTTATTCTGGTTGTAGTGGAGGAAACAAATACAGTAGCATTTTGTTATATGTTCTCTAGAATATAGACTTTCGTTATTAAGCCGAGTCCTATTATTGAGGAGAATGGTTATCTTATCATCTTTTTCTTCTATTGCAAGGCTAATATCAATCAAGTCACATACAGCATTAATTCACTAGTTCTCTGATGGACCCCAACATGTTAAATCAGATCTTATGCAGGCAACCTTTCTTTTTTAATTATTTATACCACTAACTAATACAGAGTCAAGTTATTCCAAAATATTAATGAATTTATGTTGTACCTGATTCACCATCAGTACTTCAAATGAAACCCATAGAAGTTGATGGCGCCATCCACTAGCTATTTAATAACTGCATCTGATTGGAATTGCTAGGCTACAGCGTACATAGACATAAATCTAGGGGGCATCAATTGACACAAAATATTAATATACCAAGCAAAAGGAAAAGCATTTGTAGCTATGTCATAGCAAGATAACTATGCATCTAAAGCTATACATGTATGCATTTATTCCCGAAGAAAATAAGAAGTATATCTGGATGGGACAGAAAAGGTGCAAATACGGATGCTAACTTTGTATTTTTTTTTCTATTTAAGGATGTTAACTTTGCTAGTTTTTAAATAAAGATGCCAACTTTCAACTTTTTCTATTTAAGGATGCTAATTTTCAATTTTTTCTATTTAAGAATATCAACTTTCAACTTATTCTATATAATGATGTTAACTTTTCTTAAAAAGTTTGTTTGCCACTTCAGCATCACCATCCAATTGATCCTTAAATAGAAAAAGTTGAAAGTTAACATCCTTAAATAGAAAAGGTTGAAAGTTGACATCCTCAACTAGAAAAAATTAAAAGTTGGCATCCTTATTTAGAAATTGACAAAGTTAACATTCTTAAATAGAAAAAGGTGCAAAGTTGACATCCTTATTTGCACCTTTTGTCCTAGATAGGAAATTAAGGCCTTTGAGTAAGAAAAATGGGAACTAAGTAAATGCATTTATTTTTCAAAATTACAAGCATATGGTATTCATTACAAACACAGGCCTAAAATTAGAGGTTCAAGAGTACAAGATTAACAAAAGGAGATTACTAGTGAATGAATATAATTTATCATGTAACCATATCTTTGGACATACAATAGAAGGAAAGAGAATACCTGCTAGGAGGAGCACCTTTGCCAAGAAAGATGTGAAGATTAGCAAAGTAGGGCTCTTTTCCTGAAAATTTTAAGATCAGAGAGTTAGCATGGCTAAGATAATGGAATCTTAAAAAAAAAAAAAGGGGTAGGAGTGATAAGTAAATGGTGCTAGATTATAGAGGATCCTAACATTATGAATATCCAAGGTTCCAGTATACAGACTGCTTTATTCAGGATCAGGAACCACTTGAAGTAGAACTTATGTTAACTTTCTCACCAAAATAAGAATAATCAAAATTTCAAATTCAAGATTACAAAGAATGGTGATAAGCTGTAGTCAACAATATATATATATATATATATATTTTTCTTTTTTTTGCCGAGAAGCAAACAATTATTTTGCAGCTAAATTGAAATCCTAACGCATTACATTTATGCTACATGAGTAGAACAAAAATAAATGCCGATGCTTTTGAAGAGAATTTACAAGCTTACCAGGTTAAAAGCATTATGAATCCAGTGAATCAAGTTGGTGTTGGCATCTCCACAGCAAATTCCTTCAATAAGCTTTACAAAATCTATGGTCTCCTTCCTCTTTGCCAATCTGATGAATCATTGAAACTTGTTCAAATTTTTTCTTGAGTATATTATTTATCAAGAGACCAAGTTTAGATCTTCATTAGCTGAATGACACCCAAAATTGATCAAACTCAATGCTCCAGTTTTCCAGTTCTATGACTAAGCCTAGTATAAATCCAAGAGGCTGCGTTAGTATTCAAATTATTGCAACAAAAGTTTTATAAGAGGCTGCTTTGATCATCTGGAACTGATAATAACTTGGACATCCTATGCAATGTAGAATAAATTTCTTTTATCTCTGGGTGAGATGGATCCCCAACAAGAAATTCATGAATAACACCCCTAATCTCAATTGAACTGCATCCAGGCACCTTTTTGACTCCAAGATCTTTCATCTGCTTTCTGACTTTTGTTACTTCTTCCCATCTATCAGCTGAGGCATAAATATTGGCAAGAAGTGTATGACCACTTGAATCACTTGATTCAAGATTCACCAATCGTTCAACCAATCGTTCTCCCATCTCAACATTGCCATAAATCCTGCATGCACTGAGTAATGAACTATAAAATGGGATCAAATTCTCACTATTTCCAACAGGTATGCTTTCTATCAATTTCTCTCCCTCAATCAACAGTCCAGCTCGAGCCAGTAAATCAATCAGACATCCAAAGTGCTCTAGCTTTGGTTCAATCTGATATATCCTTGTCATCGAATCAAAGAACTTTTGGCCTTCCTCAACCATCCCTGCATGACTGCAAGCACTTAAAACACCAACAAAGGTGATATCATCAGGTTTAAGTCCAGCCTGTTTCATTTCTGAGAACAACTCCAGTGCCTTACTTGTCTTACCATTCATAGCAAGCCCACATATAACAGAAGTCCAAGAGGCTGTATCTTTTTCTCTCAAACCATAGAAAATTTCCAAAGCTTTCTCTATGCATCCACATTTTGCATACATGTCTATGAGAGCAGTACCAACAACTGTATCCACTGGAATTCTGTTTTCATCTATGTATTCATGGATCCATTTGCCTTGCTCGAGGGCTCCCAGATGAGCACAACCAGTTAGGAGGGAAACCAGAATAAATTTATCTGGTTTAACTCTTTGGATTTGCATTTCTCGAAACAATTCCACAGCTTCATCAAAATGGTTGAATTGCACATACCCATTGATCATAGCTGTCCAAAGAACAACATCCCTGACAGGACTTCTCTCAAATAATTTTCTAGCCTCATCTAGCTGACCTGAGTTAGCATAACCAGCGACCATACTAGTCCAACAAATTACATTCTTACTTGGCATCTCATCAAAAACTTTCCAGGCTGTACTGAAACACCCACACTTGCAGTACATGTCTACCAATGCATTCCCAATTATACTAGTCAACTCAAGCTCCTCTGTAACATAACGGTGAATCTGCTTGCCAAATTTCAAATTTTTCAAAGCTGTACAGGCAGACAGAGAGGTAACAACAGTGGCTTCATTAGGTCTCATGTTACTCTCTTTTTCCATCTGTCCAAAAACATTTAAAGCATCTTCAAACCTCCTACACTTGACAAACCCACCAATTAAAATATTCCAAGAAACAACATCTCTTTCATGCATTTCATCGAACAGCTTCTCCACATTCCCAATCCTACCAAACAGAGCATACATATCCATTAGTGAGTTGCAGACATAAGAATCAAAGCCAAGCCCACATTTTACGGTAAATCCATGAATCTTTTCCCCCTCAAGCACCTCCCCCAAACATCCCATGGCCTTAAGAACAAACGGGTACGTAAAATTATCAGGCTGCAATCCTTGTTCCCGCAAATTCCAGAAGAGCAAAATCACTTTTTCAAAACTACCCTTCTTGGCGAATGCCTTGATCATAACATTGTAAACGAACAAAGATGGAAGTTGAATGGAATTGAAGATTTTCTCTGCATAGCGCAAGTCTCCACGAGAAGGGTCTGTGCAGAAGGCCATAAGCTTGTTGAGGATGGCGCTGTCTTGTTGGAACCCCAGACTGAAGATCTGGGCGTGGATTTGCTCGAGGTCGTTCACAGATTTGCAGTTTTGAAGGAGAAAGATCCATGAATGCTTGGTTAGAGTTGTGGCAGTGGAGTGGGGAGAGAAGCAGCGAGGCACATAATGGCGGGAAACGGAGTGAAAGAACCGAAGTTGCCGTGGAGAAGGCATTGTGCTTTGAAGGCTTGAGCAAGCAAAACACTATAAATGAGAAGTACAGGCTCGGCCCAACCCCCTTTTTTTTTTTTTTAAAAAAAAACATGAGGAAATTTTGAGGATTAAGGGATTTTTTTCAAGTCCAATTGAACTCTTGACTAATTAAATTTAAACACTAAAGTTTGGATGAAATCATTAGACTCTAAAACCTGGTTCAAGTTAGGCCTGGTTTTTAAGGGCAAATATTTCATTAAATGTATAATATATGGATAAATCCTCAATATATAGACTCAAAATATATTCATCACTCATGACAAATGAAAATTTCAAGGGATTTGTGGGAATGGGAAATGCAGCATATATGTATGACTCTAAGTGGTCTAGTAGCTGTTCTCTTTTGAGTAGTTATGAAAATAGTAATGTTTTGAATTTTATACTTAAATTATCTTTATCATTAAAATTTTCTTTGTTCAGAAAAAAAAAAAAAAAAGCATATATGTATAAAGAAGATTTTTTTTTTTATCAATCTTCCTCTCCACTATCAATAATTTTTTTTTTCTAAGTTATATTATATTGTAAAGGTTAAATACCCTTTTTGGTCCCTCTACTATAGGAAAAAGCCGCTTTTTAGTACCTTTACCAAAAAAATCTCCTTTTTGGTCCTTACTGTACACAAATCCGGGCCCTTTTTAGTCCTTCCGTTAAATTTTGCTCACGTGGCACGTTAACTTAACTGGAACAGCTGACGTGGGTATGCCAACGTGTAAAAGATGCTTACGTGAACTTAATGACACCCTCCACATCACCCCCCACATCACTCTCCACTTCCTCCGGCCTTTCTTCTCTTTTCCCCTTTACCCCCAAGCGAACCCAAGAGCTTGGGTTCACGAGGAACCCAGCTCGCGGGTTCATGATGAACTCAAGAGCCTAGGTTGGCGATGAACCCAACTCACTAGTTCGCGATGAACCCAGGCGCCTGGGTTCATTGCGAACCCAGCAACATTTCCATGTCAGTGTCACCTACTCCAAATCAATCCACAAACAAGCACAAAAATCACTACACAAATGAAATGCTTCTTTTTCATGAGATTAAATCAATCAATTCTTGCACCCAAACTAGCAAGTCTTTCAACAAAGTCAAAAAAATCCAACCAAAAGGAAAATGTTTTAAGGTTATGAAATTCAAATCAAACATTTTAATTTCTCAGATATCTCAGAAACAGCCTGTGATGCTTTCCCAGATCCAAACAAAATACAAAGAGAACCTAAAGGCTTAAAGCAAAATCTTAGTGATTGAACAAATTTGGACGATTTGGGGAAAAGAAGAATACCATTGAACACTTCAATCGCGGCATGAATTAAATCCCTGGTAAGAAGCTCATAAACTTGAGCATTTGAGCAGGTTTCATTGAACACATGATCTGCAAATGCGAAAACGAAAAAGAAAAGCTTAATTGAACAAAATCCACACTGATAACATGGTAAATCGAAGATGAAATAGAAATGAAGATCCAAGTTTTTACCAAAAGCGTAAGAGACGCTGGAGATGGGAGTGCCGTGACGCCTGTGGAGGGAGATGCGGTTGTCCTCGACCTTCCAATAGGTTCGGGCGGAGGTATCTTGGGAAACCGTGGTCTCACTCTCACAGCAACGCAAATCTTCTCCATTTCTTAGGGTAAGACTCATTCCTCACGAACCCAGGCTCTTGGGTTCGTTGGGAACCTGCGAGCTAGGTTCCTCATGAACCCAGGCTCCTGGGTTCCTCGTGAACCTAAGCTCTTGGGTTTGCCTGGAGGTAAAAGAAAAAAAAGAAAGAAAAAAAGGCCGAAGGAAGTAGAGGATGAGGAAGAAGATGAGGGTGAATCAGTAATTAAATGTAAAAAATTTAATCATGTTATCAATTTTTGCCAGATGGATTTTCCTCATAATTTAGTAAAATGGTAAAAAAAAAAAAAAGAGTTTTTCCGTCACTTAACCAGACACATCAGCCAAAATTTAATAGAAGGACTAAAAAGGGGTCGGATTTGTGAATAGTAAGGACCAAAAAGGGGATTTTTTCAGTATAGGGACAAAAAAAGGACTTTTTCCTATAGTAGAGGGACCAAAAAGGGTATTTAACCTATTGTAAAAAGATAACCACATATTCTGGAAGACATCTTTTTCGTCAATGAATAATTTTGTGTGATTTAGTATAATTTAAATAGTACAAAATATTTTTTTTAGTTGTACTTGTAACATCCCCTTTTTGATAAACTAAAGGTTTATCAAGTAAGGAAATGTACTGCACAACTAAGGAAAAATAAGTGCAAAAAATATCTATAAAATCAAATTGTTCATTTTATATGCTATTCTCAGACTCAATGCAATACAAAATAGGTTTAAAATTATAGAGTCAAATGGAAGTTTTGGACAGATAAAGATTTGCCTTACTAATATTTGAGGTATAGCTTACGGTTAGCATAGGACCTCCACCCATAAAAATTCTTAAGGATAACAGCTACTCTTCACTACTACTATCTAAAATGGTGGAAAAAGCACCATGAGCTCATAGCCCAATAAGCATAATTCTGAATCTTAAGTTAAGTTGACAATCTAATCTTAGTATTTTATGCAGAAAAATTCCTTTAGTTCTTAGTTGTACCAACCTTGTAGAAAATTAAGGCATTACAACCACAAATGATCAGACAAACACATCACATCAAAATAGAAATAACACAAACTATGGAGTCCACTGAATGTGCATGCACTCATATTAGGTGCTAGAGCTATTCATAACACTTACCCACTGCCTAGAGGTTCACTAACTCACTGTTCTAACCCCCAAGCCTAGGCTGGGGCCCAAACTCTCCATAGTTCTAAGACAATTGCATAACAGCAGCATATATAGCACATAATCATGCATAACAATTTTCAATGTTTACTTAATATGGTCTGTAGAACTAGTAGAAATAGGCTATAATGAAGTGCCCAGGTCAAAAACATAGGACATAGTCCAAAAAAGGTGATACACATAACATATTAATCTCACAACTTGAACTATAAAGATTTCACAGTTTCAACATAAAAGACTTCTAGTTTAACCCATTATTGTATTTATTTCTCTCTTATGTTATATAATTGAAACTACAGTAGCCTAATTTCTTATGCTTATTCTATTGTTTTATTTACCTTTAAATTTGTTTGACAACCTTGACTCAAAATTAAGAATCACACTTACCACACACTTTCTGCAAAATCTTGAGTTTGGCATAATTCTTCAATATTCCCCAAATCTACCTAACCTATTTTTCTTTCTCCTTCCCTTTCGGTTCGTTATAGACAAAATACAGAAAAATAGCTAATTTAGTGATATGGCTTAAGAAGTTCCCGTCAAGTGGGTTTTAAATGGTCCCCACTTGGCCCACTTCCCATCCAACCACCTATTATTTATTTTAACATATTGTGGACAGCTAGACTGCACTAAATCCTCCTATAATAGACACTTGGTCAGCATTTATTAAAATAATATGCAAACCCCATAATTAACAATTATTATAAATTAGTCCCTAATTCTAAATGAGATAAAGGACTATTAACTTTAAACTTAATGCAAATTAGGATCTATTTTCTTTAACTAATTGCTAATAAGAATTGGGATATCACATTCTTCCCTCCTTAAGAGATTTGGTCCCCAAATTTGTTCTTACTAGAAAACAACTAAGGATAATGTTTTGTAATATGCTCTTCTAGTCCCAAGTGGCTTCTTCCTTAGTATGGTGTTCCTAGAAAACTTTAACCATAGGAATAGCTCTGTTTCTTAAAACCCTCTCCTTCCTTTCTAAAATCTGTATTGGTTCTTCAACATAACTCAAATCTTCCCCATGATGCAAAGATTCATTCTTGATGATGTGTGAAGCAACTGGTTCATACTTTCTCAAAATTGAAATATGAAAAACATTGTGCATCTTAGACATTTTAGGTGGCAATGCAATTCTATATGCTACCTTTCCAACCCTTTCTAAAATTTCAAAGGGTCCAATATATCTTGGTTTCAGCTTCTTTTTTATGTCGAATCTGTTTATGCCTTTTGAAGGTGAGACCTTTAGAAACACATGCTCTCCCACTTTAAACTCCAATGGTCTTCTTCTCTAATCAACATAAGCCTTCTGCTTATCATGAACTGCCTTCAATTTTTGCTGGATCAATTTCACCTTTTTTGTTGTTTTCTAAACTATTTCAGATCCCAATAGTCTAACATTTGCTTTTCTTCTACCTCAGTCCAACAAACTGGGGTTCTACATTTTCTACCATACCATGCTTCAAATGGTGCCATTCCTATGGTAGAATGGTAACTGTTATTGCAAGCAAATTCAATTAATGGGAAGTGTTCATCCCAACTACTTGAGAAGTCAAGTACACAAGCTCTTAGCATATCTTCAAGAGTCTGAATTGTTCTTTCTAATTGCCCATCTGTTTGTGGGTGAAATGCTATACTCATTCTCAACTGTGTGCCTATTGGTTTTTAAATGACCTCCAAAATCTTACTGTAAATCTAGTGTCTCTATCTGAGATTATACTCACTGGAACACCATGAAGAGTCACCACCTCTTGAACATAGAGCTTAGCTAAATTATCAAATGAATTATCCACTTGTGTTGGTAAAACGTGTGCTAATTTGGTCAACCTATCTACAACTACCCAAATTGAATCATGTTGCCTTTTAGTTTTAGGTAGTCCTTGAACAAAATCCATAAAGATTTGCTCCCATTTCCATTCAAGTATAGGAAGAGGCTATAATTCTCCTGTTGGATTCTGATGTTCAGCTTTCACTTGTTAACAAGTCAAACATTTGGCTACAAATTCTACAATATTCTTCTTCATACCAAGCCACCAATATTCTTTCTTCAAGTTTTGGTACATATTTGTGCATCCAGGATGTATAGTAAATTTGGATTGGTGAGCTTTTTTTAATAGGTTAAACCCCCATTTTGGTCCCTCAACTATTGTACGGACCCCCGACTTAGTCCCTCAACTCAAAAAATCCCTGATTTGGTCCCTACTGTTTACCATTTTTACCCTAATTTAGTCCCTCCGTTAAAAATCCAATGACGTGCCACGTTAATTAACTGAAGCATGATGACGTGTCTAAATAGAGTGACACCTCTTATGCATACTTGTTAAAAAAAAATGACAAGGCAGTATGATTTTGATCCAAAACTTAAAAAAAAGGAGTGGGCCCCACCTAAACCCTTCTCCCTCTTTCTTCCCATTCGGACCTCGAACAATAGAGCTCTCTCAATTTCTCAGCAAGAATCCATAGAAAAAAAAAAGGAGAAATTTTTTGTATTTTTCCCAGTTCCCAATTCCTCCTCAATTCCTTCATCAATCAATTCTTCATCATCATGAAACAACAAGATCCACAGAGAAAAAAAAAAAAGAATTTTTTTTTACTTTTTGCTTTTGGGTTCATTCGAACCCAGAAAGCCAAGAATCCACCTGGGTTCGAAAGAACCCAGGAAGCCAGGCATCCACCTGGGTTCGAACGAACCCAAGAGGACGCCTGGGTTTGTCCTCTTCCTGGGTTCGTCCTCCTCCTGGGTTCGTTCGAACCTAGGAAGCCAGGCGTCTTCCTGGGTTCAAAAGAACCCAGGAGGACGCCTGGATTTGACCTCTTCCTGGGTTCGAAGGAACCCAGGAAGAGGTCAAACCCAAGCGTCCTCCTAGGTTCGAAGGGGAAAAGAAAGGGAGAGAGAAGGAAAAAAAAAAAAAGAATTTTTAAAGTTTTTTTTTGACATTTTTTTCCATGTCATCACTTTTTTCATGCGTGCATCTGATGTGGCACGTTATTTTGACACGTCATCATGCTGCAGTTAATTAACATGACACATCATTGGATTTTTAACAGAGGGACTAAATTGGGGTAAAAATGGTAAACAGTAGGGACCAAATCAGGGATTTTTTGAGTTGAGGGACTAAGTCAGGGGTCCATACAATAGTTGAGGGACCAAAATGGGGGTTTAACCTTTTTAATAAATCATTTTTCAATTCTACATTATCGAGAATACATAATCTGATCAACCCATCTGCAGCCATTCTAATTCCCATATTCTTCCTTTTTTTCTTCATTGTTTAACCACCCTTGTAACTATGCGTCACCTTGCTGAGCTTCTTTAATTCTGACCAATAACTCTAGTTGTACTCTCAAACTAATGATAATTAATCTAGGTTACTGTTGTAGAATCTTCACATTCATCCCACTAACATCCTCAAGCAATTTCCATTATATTACCACCATCGCTGCAAAGCTACCTCTACTTTTTCTACTGAGAGCATTTTCTATAACATTACCCTTTCCTGGCTGAAAAACAATGCTACAATTGTAGTAATTCAAATACTCTCTCCACCTTCTTTGTCTCAATTTTAAATCTTTTTGGGAAAATAAATATTTTAAATTCTGGTGGTCTATAAAGATTTCAAATGCCTTACCATATAAATAATGCCTCCATAGTTTAAGTGCAAATATAATGGCAACTAATTCCAAATCATGTGCTGGCTAATTGTTTGTCATAATTTTTAAGTTGTCTAGATCCATAAGCAATAACTTTGCCTTCTTGCATTAACACACATCCTAACCCCTTTAACGAAGCATCTATGTATACAGAAAATCTACCCTTGCTGTTTGGAAGGGCTAGAATAGGGGTTGAAGTCAATCTTCTCTTTAATTCTTGGAAACTTTCTTCACACTTCTCATTCCATTCAAGTTTCTGGTTCTTCCTAGTTAGCTAAGTTAATGGGCTGGCTATTTTCGAATGACCCTCTACAAATCTTCTATAATAACCTGCTAAACCCAAAAAACTTCTCACTTTAATAGTCGTAGTTGGTCTCTCCCATTTCATAATAGCTTTCGTCTTGCTTGGATCAACTGAAACACCTTCACCAGAAATCACATGTCCCAAAAAACTGACTTTATTCAACCAGAATTCACATTTGTCTAACTTAGCATACAATTTCTGCTTCCTTAATGTCTGCAGCACAATAGTTAGATGTTCTTTGTGTGCTTCTTCATTTGGTGAGTAAATTAATATATCATCAATGAAAACAATAACAAATCTATCTAGGTATAATTGAAAAATTATGTGCATCAAATCCATAAAGGTAGTAGGGGCATTGGTTAACCCAAAAGCCATAACCAAAAATTCATAATGACCATAACTAGTTCTAAAAGCTGTTTTCAAGACATCTTCTAGTTTAATTCTCAGCTAGTAATAGCCTGACTTTAAGTCTATTTTAGAAAACACCTTAGCTCTTTGAAATTGATCAAATAGGTCATCTACTCTAGGAAGTGGGTACTTATTCTTGATTGTCAATTGGTTAAGTTTTCTATAGTCAATGCAAAGCCTCAATGGCCCATCTTTCTTTTTCACAAAAAGTACTGGTGCTCTCCAAAGTAAGGTACTTAATCTAATAAAGCCTTTATCAGGCAACTCTTGCAATTGTTTCTTTAATTTTATTAATTCCATGGGTGCCATTCTATGAGGTTGTTGAAAATTAGCGGTAGTTCTAGGAACTAGATCTATTGTGAACTTTATCTCCCTTTGCGGAGGTAATCTTAGCAATTCTTTAGGAAATACATCTGCAAAATTCTCCACTACATTAATTCCCTCAAGAAAAATTGGTTTTTCTCTTTTTTCAAACACATAAGCCAGATATCCTTGACAACCAAGTTTGCTGGCATATTTCTATCACCCAACATAATTGAATAGTCCTTATAAATCATTTGAGAAAATAAAGTTTCCTCAGATGGTGTTTTGACTACTAACATGTGTTCTAGTCTACTAGACTTTTCATGTAAATTTGGAACATATTTAGATGCAACAAAGGAATGTGTAGATCCAAGATCCATTAAGATATATGCTAGTCTAGAAGAGATTAGTAATGTACTTTTGATAACAGTGGGATTTTGTTGTACCTGTTGTTTAGTAAGTGTGAAAACCCTTCTAGTCACCTTTTGTCTTTTATTTTTTGCAACCTCCATGACTTGTTGGTTGCTTGTCTTCAAAGTTGGATAGTCCTTGATTAGGTGTCCGATTTTACTACACTTAAAGCAAGCACCAATGGCCCAGTAACATTCCCTACCCCCATGATTTGTACCACACCATTTGTAGCTCTTTGAAGTCTACTTAAATCCTTATGTTCCCCTTCTGTTTCCCTTCCATTTTGTCTTCTTTTGGATCTGTGAAGTAGTCACTACCTTTCCTTTACTTTTCTAATCACCCTTTTCTTGTTTCTACTCTTTCAGATCTTGTTCAACAACCTGTGTAGTCATAAAGACTTCATCAAAGGTTTTGAGTCTCAAAGGGACAACCTTGTTCCTTATAAAAGCCTTTAAGCCCTTCTCAAATTTTCTAGCCCTTCTCAAATTTTCTAGCCCTTTTAGCTTCATCTTTAGTCGCATGAGGTGCAAACTCGGCTAAAGCACTAAATTTTGCTTGATACTCATCCACAGTCATTTCTCCGTGCTTTAAGTTCATAAACTCTTGTTCTTTCCTTTCCAAAATAGCTTCTAAAAAGTATCTCTAAAAGAAAACTTCAAATTTCTCCCAATTAATTTGTTGACCCCTCCTAGTCATTCCCTCTTGTGCAGCTATCCACCAATCTTCTACTTCGCCTTTTAATTGATAAATGACTAACTCCACCTTCTATTGATCAATACATTTCAAAATTTTGAAAATCTTTTCTAACATTTTTACCCAAATTTCAGCATTACAGCATCTTCTATGCCCTTGTTAGAATGGTGGGTGTAGATTCTGAAATTGTTTTACCAAGGGTCATTGTTCATTACCCTCAACATTTGTGTTCACAGTCACATTATTACTCTGTTGTACCTAATTCCCCATATTTTGATTATTTTAAATTTGGTTGCCCTGATTTTGGCTAACTTGATTTTGCAAAAATGCCATAAGCCGACTATTCATCTCTTGCATTTCTTGTTGCAAACTTTCCACCCTTTCCTTCAAACACATGTTTTTTTCTAAAGTGGTAGTAGTTTTTACTATTATTCTTCTAGGTCCTCTTTGATACTGTGATGTAGGGAGTATTTAAATGTTAACTAGTCACAGTGTTTAGGACACACTAGACTTAATTACACATCAAATATGTATCTTAGCAAAACTTTGGCTCTAATACCAATTTGCAACATCTCATTTTTTATAAACTAGAGGTTTGTCAAGTAGGGAGATGTACTGCATAACTAAGGAAAAAATAAGCGCAAAAAATATCTATAAAATCAAAATGTTCATTTTATATACTATTCCCAAGCTTAATATAGTACAAAATGGGTTTAAAATTATAGAGCCAAATGGAAGTTTTGGGTAGATACAGATTTGCCTTACTGATATTTAAAACACAGCTTACAGTTAGCATAGAATCTCCACCCACAAAAATTCTTAAGGATAATAGTTACTCTTCACTACTACTATCTAAAATGGTGGGAAATGCATCATGAGCTTACAGCCCAGTAAGCATAATTCTAAATCTTAAGTTAAGTTGATAATCTAATGTTAGTATTTTATGTAGAAAATTTTCTTTAGTTCTTAGTTGTACCAACCTTGTAGAAAATTAAGGCACTGCAGCCACAAATGATCAGACCAACACAGCACATCAAAATAGAAATAACACAAACTATGGAGTCCACTGAATGTGCATGCACTCACATTAGGTGCTAGAGTTAATTATAACACTTAGCCAGTGCGTAGAGGTTCACTAATTCACTATTCTAATCCCCAAGCCTAGTATGGGGTCTAAACTCTCTATAGTTCTAAGATAATTGCATAACAGCAGCATATATAACACATAATCATGCATAACAATTTTCAATGTTTACTTGATATGGTCTATAGAATTAATAGAAATAGGCTATAATGAAGTGCCCAGGTCAAAGACACAAGACATAGTTCAGAAAATGTGATACACATAACATATTAATCTCACAACTTGAATTGTAAAGATTTCATAGTTTCAACATAAGAGATTCCTAGTTCAACTCACTAGTGTATTTATTTGGCCAAAGCCCCTATTTGCACCCTCCATTTATTTATTTTTCGTAGTCAACACCTTCCAAAATTTTTCCTCCTTATTCACACCCTCGACTTTTCAAAACCCGTAAGAAGCCCAATATTTTAACGAGCCGTAATGATACCGTTAAAAAATATATTACGTGGTACCTAAAAATTGACATGGCACCATATGGTGTTAGTAATTCAACATGAATTTTTTTTTTTATGACATGGCATAATTTTTTTACACAAATGGATGCAATACTACAGTAAAATCAATAAAAATTTGTAATACATAGTACCAAACAATGACATGAACCTGGACTTTTTTTTTTTTTGATGATGTGGCATTTCTTCATCTTTTTCTTTCCCCATCATCCTCAGAATCATCTTCTCCATCCTCCATCTTCACCATCCTCTTCTCCTTTTCTCCTCTTGCGATTCCTCGCCGAGAACCTAGTTCTGGGTTCCTGCATGGAACGCAAATTCTGGGTTCCTCGTCGGGAACCCAATTCTGGGTTCTTACGAGGAACCCAGATCTGGGTTCTTGCGCCAAACCCAGATTCTGGGTTCCTGTGCGGAACCCAGCATTCTGGGTTCTGATCATTTTTTTTTCTTTTTTTTATTTTGAATGTATTTATCTTAGTTTCTTATTTTATCCAAAGCAATTTGAAATAATTTTTTTGTTGGAAAGGTGAGTTTTTTTGCTTGAAAATTGTTTCTGAACAGGTTGCCAATTTGAGTTCAAGTGGGATTAACACGGTTTTTTCGTTTTTTATGGGAAAGGGGTGAAAGATGCATATCATGTTTTTGTGTAGTATTCATTTACTTATAATTGTGTGGATGAAGATCTTAGCTTGGTAAGCATTCATGTGAAACTAGATTCCATGAGGAACTCAGAACTTGGGTTTCGCAAGGAACCCAAGATGATGAGGACGAGGATGGTGAAGATGATGCTGGGAAAGAAGAAAATGAAGAAATTAAAATTAATTATGATTTAATTATAACACATTATAAAAAAAAAGTCCACATTGGATCAATAAATGTGACATAACGTCCTAAGCAAGGTTGTCAAAATCGAGATTTTACCTAAAATCGAGATTTTACCTAAAATCGTTTTG